TGTTTAAGTAAAAGCAATTCGTCATTGAAGTTAGAATCACTCATGTTGTCCCTGGGAAAATTTACGAAGGCTGACAGAAGTACTGAAACAACCACAATATGCACCACTGTTCAGTCTCGCAACGCTTTCTTAAACACCATTTTATGACTTTTCACATTTAGGTGGAGTAGGGAATGTTCCGAGCGGCTTTCGCGGGTGGTGTACTATATCCCTTTCCTGTCATTCTTGTGATTCCCAGCTCCCTTAGCTTATTCTTATTTTATTATATTATTCCAAACATTAACTCGGCAAACTAGGCTCAATGATCTCTTTCTTCGATAGACCGATCCAGCACTCTGGGTGCTTATATTCGTGCATGTTTCGACTCGCTGGTCATTATGGATGATGTGGCATGATGAGGCAAAGGGGAAATAAGCACTTAAATAATACAATTCGAGTGTACCATCTTCTTTCTCATTTCGAGGAAAGGGTGCGGGGAAAAAAAGAAAACAACAGAGGGATCTGAATCAGACCTAAGGGTTCGTGTTCGCCGGGAGCCGGCGTCTTGAAAAAGGGCTGTTAAGGTTCTCCGGCGTTGGCGCAGTTTGTTTTCTACGTGTGGTATTTCGTTTACAATTTCGGCAAGCCTTACTGCATCTGCAATAATAGCCATACGTGCTCTTACTCAATTTCTTTGATTTTAATTTGATGAAGTGAAGACATTTATCGAGCTTCCATTTATAGGGTGGAATGTGTACAACCACGTGGCATGCGCATGTGGGCATAGACGACACATGTCCAGTGACGTGTCCTTCTTTCATCTCCAGCGGCCAACACCTGTCCTCCTGTTGTCCCTCAAGTAGATACTATATAACTTACTCATGCTCTCCAGTGGAAGGTAAGGCAAGAGACCGGGGGAAGTACCCTAAGAGCGCCCGCTGTAGTCAGTGACTCTCATCTCCCGGACTCACCTCCTGCAAATACCTTGTAAGCTATTCAATCCCTGGCACTATGGTCTAACTTGAGCGTCGAAGGGTGCCCCCGCCGAGATAGGTCGGCAGACCCTTTTTTTTTTGCAAGAAGTGATCGGAGGCAACATCATGAAGTAAGGTTACGATAAAGGGGCATTACAAATCGCTTCGGGGCCCAACATCAACAATTAACGCCCACCATGGGACCCCGAAGTAAAGTCTTGAAAAATACCTGATATCAACTCTCCGTTCGTGATGGAATTCGAAAGCTCCTGACCAGCCGGGAGAAGTCGATACAAAGAAACATCCTTCCAACCTTCTGTTGAGGAACTCCAAACTCAAATCGGTCACGGAAGGCCCCTCGCCCAGACTATTCTCGAGTAGTCTAATCCTCCTAGTTTTCAAATGTTGCACCACCTGCCAGAATACTATTGGAATTTCGACTTGGAGGATCACTTTAGTGCGTTTCAGATTCTGATGCCCTTCATGGGGGCATTTGACGCTACTATTGGCAAGCTCTTTCCAGGCACCTTGTGGGGGGTAGCATTTAAATGGTACACCCAGCTGCGCAATGGGTTAATCCACAACTTCAAAGAATTTGTCATCCTCTTCCGTGCCAAGTTCTTCGCTCATAAAAGACCTAACGTGGATGTCTCTCACCTCTTGAACACCAAGCAAAGGAAATATGAAACCCTCAAAGAGTATTACGCCTGGTTCATCACGATTGCTGTTAGGGTAACCACTCTCTCCACAGAGAACACCACACATGCCCTCTTATATGGCACCAACAATGCCCTCCTCCGAGCCTCACTCATAAAGCACCGCCCTCGCAACATGATGGATCTCTAAGAACGAGTTACTAAGTACATCGCCCTTGACGAGACTCTGTAGGAGGCGGCCCCACATAATAGAGGTCGCTCGCCTCCACCTAAGAGGAAGCGTGATCCCACACCTCCAAGAAATGCGGATTCACCTCGAGCACGTGAGCGTCCACGTGGTCGTTCGCCTCCCGCCGCTGTAAAGGGCAATATCTGTGATGCTCGTCGAGAAGGTGTTGAACCCGAGGCAGAACACCCTTTCACACCCTCACGAGAAGAAAATCTCGATTGTGTGGCCAGCTCCAATGACCAATGAACCACGAAAGGATAACAAGTATTCTGATTTCCACCGGGGTTATGGTCACGATACAGAACGTTACTGGATTCTAAAGAATTCCATAGAAGATTTTGTTCAAGAAGGACATCTAAAGAAATACATTGAAGGCTCAACAGAACGCTCGCGAGAACCTCCGCCCACCGACTGAGGCAAAACTATTCAGAGTACTGTTTCTCTAGGGGTCGTCGATGTCATCCATGGTGAGCTGGCCTCGGGTGTATACAAACTAAACCGCCTCCGATCAACACCCAGGCTATGGTAGGCTCCACCTCCGCAACAGCAGCAACTCCTCTAATCTCATTTGACTCCTAGGATTTAGAAGGAGTTGCGCACCCTCACGATACCACATTGGTAATAAAGGTGATAATATTTGATTACGAGGTCAAGAGAATTTTGGTGGATGGGGGAAGCTCGGCGGACCTACTCTTTTACCCCGCCTACCTATCCCCTCAACTTTCCATCTCCGTCTTTAATTTCCCACTAAGGTCGGTGTTGGGTGTGTGCAAGGGGACCAAGCTCTAACACGACAATATTGTGCTCTGTCCCAGGAGAAAAAGGCAATTGTCGTGATCGACGCTCAGAGGAAACTGCCCGCCCAGTTTCTGTTGATGACGACGAGGAGTTCCCACTCGTCGATGAGCACACAGTTCGCATATCGACCACCTGGCCACGAGAGTCACTCCAGTCCCTTCGCATTACTCCAGGAATTTGGGGGAGTATTCGCCTGGGGTCCAGAACATATGCTTGGGTTCTACCCTAGGGTGGCCGAACACATACTCGGAATAACTCCTGGCAACCGCCCAATCCAACAAAAGCATCGTAACTTTGCATGGGAAAGATGTCAGGCAGTGGCCGAAGAAGTAACCAAACTTCTTAAAGCTCGGTTTATCAGGGAAGTCCTGTACTCGACATGGCTGACCAATTTCATCATGGTAAAAAAATCGAATGATCAGCGGCGTATGTGTGTGGATTTCACTGACCTAAACAAGGCATGTCCTAAGGATCCATATCCTCTCCCAAAAATCGGCCAACTGGTTGACGCCATCTCCAGGCACCAGTTCTCACCTTCCTCGACATGTTCTCCGGGTACCACCAAATTTTGATGAAGAAAGAAGACCAAGAAAAGACAGCTTTCATGACACCTGTCGGAAATTACTGTTATGAAGTTATGCCCTTCGGCCTAAAAAATGTCGGTTCCACATACTAGCGCGTGGTAGATCGAGTTTTTGTCCACCATCTGGGAAAGAAAAGCATACGTCGATGATATCCTGATAAAGAGCATCGGGTTGAGCGCCGTGAAGATTTGAGGGAAACCCTCACCATTGTGCGCTTGTATGACCTCTGTCTCAATCCAAAAAAGTGTGTTTTAGGTGCAACCACTGACAAGTTCCTAGGCTTCATGCTCACCCAAAGAGGGATCGAAGTCAAACCCCATAAGATTGATTCAATCTTTCAAATGCCCCCTCCCACAAAAGGCCTAGAAGTTCAAGTACTTGCCGGGTGCATAGCGGCCCTCAATCGCTTTATAGCCGGGTTGGTGATAGATGTGCTTCGTTCTTTTCTACGCTTAAAGGTGCTTGTAAGACCTTTGGGTGGACCCCTGAGTGTGAGAGGGCGTTCGAGGAGCTCAAAATATACCTTGTAAATCCACCAATACTCTCCGCCCCGAGAATAATGAAGTCCTCTACTTGTACTTTGCTGTGTCCCCCAAGGCCGTGAGGGAGGTCTTAGTGCGAAAAGATTCCACTGGAATTGAGCATTCAGTATACTACACCAACAAAAATCTCCTTGATGCTGAAACCTAATATACTCTCATCGAACAAGCAGCATTGGTCGTAGTTGTTGCCTCGCAAAAATTGCGCCCTTACTTCCAAGCTCACCCCATCTGCGTCCTAACGCACCTACCCCTTCGACGCCCTCTACAGAAATGGATGTTGTTGGGTGCATGATCAACTAGGACATTGAGTTGAGCGAGTTTGACATTATCTTCGTACCCCGAATGGCCATTAAGTCACAGGTACTTACTGACTTCATAGCCGAGGGAATTTGTGGTCAACCTCCGCCAAGGACAAAGACTTGGGGGTTGTTCGTCGATGGTGTCTCCAACAAGTCAGGGGCAGGCGTTGGTGTTCTCCTCATAAGTCCCGTTGGTGTCGTTCATGAGTTAGCTGTGAGATTCACATTGCCAAAAACCAATAATGTCGCGAAATATGAAGCTTTACTAGCGGAACTCTGCATGGCGCAAGAACTGGGGGCACAACGTCTCATAGTTCACTCAGACTCTACACTCGTGGTCAATCAAGACTTTTGAAACACGGGAGCCGACACTCTTAGTTTATGCCAATGCAGTGGGGGCGACTTTGGCCAACTTTATCGATGCTCGCGTCATCCACATTCCATGAGAAGAAACCTTCATGCATATTCTCTCTCCAAATTAGCAACTACTCGGGATTTTTTTGGACGAGAGACATGTTATTGTTGAACGCTGGGCCCGCCTTGCTGTGCTCTCAAATAACCACATTGCCTCTCCCCCGAGATTGGTGCACGCCAATGATTGAATACTGTAGACACCACTTTTTGTCCGGGCTAGAACATATATTTAATTAGATAATTTTAGTGTTTTGTTTAAAGTTTGCAATACAAAAGAAAAACCATGCAACGAGGCAGCCAATTCGTGCCAAATTGACAATGACCTCGCAGAATAGTTGGCCCCAAGTCTGCAGTTTGTATAAAGACTGGGCAAGAACAACTAATCAATACAGCAAAGATGCTACAATGTCCTACCAATTTGCTTTATGCTAGCTTCTTCACAATTTTCTTCTCTTCATCCTTCATTAAACTAGTAAAGTGTGCTTCTTTATGCTCGTCTCTATCCCATCTGCGATCCACTATTGCTCAACAAGTTCTGAGTTTCTCCTGAAACAACTGTAACAGTTCAGGAGCCTGCTCTTTATAAGGGTCCAAAAACTTCTTCTGGAACCCCTCATTTGTAATTGCCAGTGCCTGAACCGAGGCCCTAGATTCGATCAACCCTTTTGACAACAAGACACACAGAACAGCATCTCGAGGCATAATCCTCTTATCCAAGCTGAAGGCCAGTAATATAGGTCGAGCTGCAATAACCAAAGGATCAAACCCCATTTTGTTAACGTAGTAGTCCATATTGGCCATAAGTTTCTTCACGGACATTGCCATACACCATGGAGACTTCGTGAAAGCCTTCAGAATCAGTTCGTTGGACCAACCCCACTTCCTATAAGCATCAATCTTGCTGTCCCAAGTTCCCTTGCTCACTCCTCTAATCGTCTAAACAGCTACACTGAATTGCGTTAACCTAGGATCCACCCTGTAGACACCACTTTTTGTCCGGGCTAGAACATATATTTAATTAGATAATTTTAGTGTTTTGTTTAAAGTTTGCAATAGCAAATCTTAAATGTAGTGTTTGTGATATTTGTAGTGCTTGTGATGGTTTTTATTTATTTATTTTTGCCATAACTTGACGAAATTAAGCAATAGTAAATCTCGACCAATATAATTGATAGTGAAAGAGTTGAGTTGTGTTGCTTTGATTTGACGAATTAGGCAATTTGTGAATTGATCTTTGATGAATTGGTTCTTACGATTTTGGACGGGGTGAGGATTGTACTTTGATTTTGAAGCAATAAAAATATTCGAATTAAGAAAAGATAAATAAACATATTATTAAACTAAATTCGAATTAAATCAAATATAAATAAAAATCACAATCACAATGCTATTCCATTAAATTTACAAACAAAATACAACAATAAAATAAATCAAGGCATAGTCAACTTTAGGTCAATTTAGTCAACAAAAGTCAAAGTCAGCCAACCCAATCAGGTCTGACCAAACCCAAACTGGTCAGACCTCCAGACCACTACTGTAGCAAAACTTGGCGCACAAGTAGCCATTTTTCCTATAAAAAGGGAGCCCCATGGCTCTTACAAAGGGGGGAGATGGACCTCTTATGACAGACGAAAACAAAAAAACAGAGGGTTCTTCTCTTCCTACTACTTCTTCTTTCCTTTTCCCCTGGGAAGAACAGATCTTCTCTTCCTCTTTTCATCTTCGGTTCTTGCACAAAGAGAGAGAGGAAGAAAGACAACAAAAAGAAAACCCACAAACCAGGAAAGGGACATGGAGCAGACCCCCTCTCCTCTTCTTCTTCTTCTTCTTCTTCTCTTGATCATTCCCCAACGCCTTCCATTTCCCCTGCTAAACACACACAGACAAATAACTAAGCTCAAAAACTGAACAGATAGACTTCCCTCTTTCCCCTTCGGCTCTAACAAATACTCACAGAATATACAAAAGAAGAGGAACCTTCTTCTACCTCCTCTCTTTCTTTCTCGTACAAACGTCACCATCATAATGAAAAAGCAGTCAAAGACAGAAAAGACTCCATACCACGTTTTCTTCTTGTTACCAAGCATCAACAACAAAAAAAGAAAAAAAGACAGCAGCAGCCAGAGAGCGGCGGCAACTCTACAGCAAACATCCTTCTTCTTTTCTTACACACAAAAAGACCCACCACAAGAGGCAATAAGTTTCCAGCAGTCAAACCAAGCGAAGACAGAGGAAAACAGCTTCATCCCCTCCCCCAAACTACACGAACAGGTGGGTATCCTGAATCTTTTTTTCATCTTTCTATCATCATCATTTGCATCACCGGATCTAAGGCTAGTTATCTAAGGTTTTCTCAAAAACAAATCAATCAATTCCAAGCAAACACTGGCATACTGATTTTGTATAAAAGAGGAATCTCAATCTACCACCAATCAAACTACAAATGACCAAATTGATTTAAAAAGGCACCAAACTCAGTCAATCACAGTCAAATTACAATATGACTCTAATAAATCTTAAAAGCAATGATACTGAATCCACTCCAAGCAAAATAAAAGATGACATACTTCACCATATTAGCAAAGTAACCAACACATCAGATTTATTGCTTTCCATCTAAGGCTGTTGCCCACGCCTAATTCATCTTGTCATTTTAATACTTCCATGCTTAAGCTCATTACAAGCAAGAGTTAGATCTGCAATTTTATCTTTGTTTCCCTCTTCTCAGTTTTGTCTATTGTACTCACCATATATATAAATGCTAAATTAACATCCAACTCATGCCATAAGCAAAGGTAGATTCGGCTAATAATAATAAGCTAATACGAACTCGAAGACTTATTAGACTCGATTATATGAAGCTATTTTAGAATAGCTCTCTCGGTTTTAAGGGCTCATGTCTAACCATAGCAAACCCCATATTTCATCCATCACAAACTCAAAACCCAAATTTGAAACTAAATCAACGAAAGACAAAGTAACCACAAGCAATAGCAGTGTTTATGGTCTTTTAAAAGTTCATTTTCCACTTTGTTCGGTTTAAAAAATTCTGAAACTTGAACCGTAATTCTGAGTGTTTTCTTGTGGTTCAAAGTCCCACACCCCAGTTCTAAATGAAATTTTCACGACCATAAATCAAATATCAAATCGACTAAATCAAAACTCCAAATCATCAACACTAAATTTAAATCAAACCATAGTTGAAATCAGTAGCCATTCTATTCTAGTTCTCAAACCTGCAAAAAAACGGAAGTTAATTTAGAGTCGACCAAGCAAACGAGATAATCCAAAAATAAAAAAACTCACCAAAAGGAAGTTTAACCTTCGTCGTCATTCTCGCCGCCGACGAAACTCAGGGCGCCCGGCGGCCTTCCTCGCCTTTCCGTTCACACCTCCTCCTTTCCCTCACCATCATCGAAAACCCAGAAAAACAAAACATTAAACCCAAATATTAAAACAACCCCAAATTGGAATCAAACAAAAAACAGAGCATACGAGCCCCAAATCGCGACTTACCGTCCGATCGAAGTTTCGCTTCCACGTTTTCTCTGGATTTCGCCTGATTCACATAAACAAAAGAATAATCAGAACCCAAAAGAAACAAAATCAACCCCCAAAACCGACATGCAACCCAAGAATACCTACTCCGACTCCGACCACCTTCGTCGCCGTCGTCATCATCTCCGGCATCGATACTCGCCGTCTTTCTCGCCACTTTCGTCGTCGTTCCTCTGTTCTTTCCTTCTTTCCACTGCCAGTACAGAGGAAAGGAGAAGGGAAATCAACGGAGGGGTGTCGCCTACTTGCCTTCCCGTTGACGAGTTCTTGCACAGAAGAGGGAAGAGAAGAGATCAAGAGAAGGAAAGGGCGCTGGCCCTTCTCTTTTTTTTTTTTTTTTTGGTGCGTACAGAGGGGAAAAGAAGAGAAACCAAGAGAGAGGAAGTGAGGTGAGACGAGGCCACCAAAGACCTAATTACCTTCCCAATTTCATAAAAATTACCTCTGGCCACCTTGCTATAACTTACCATTTAATTAACTTACTAAATTTTATTTTTAGATATCCTTAATACGAAAATCACCAAAATCACTTATATGTCTACTTTCCTTTCAACACGCATAATCTATTTTATTCCTTTGTTATGTCATACTGATTCATCTAATTACATTTTGGCAAATATAACCATTAATATGAAACCACATATTAGTAGAACGTGTGTTTTTATCATATATTAGAATTCACTCAAATTACCAACGACTCAATTACGAAACATACTTCGAGAAACTCACATAATTATCTCAAACATTATTAGGGTTCCTCTTCAAAATAGCTCAAAAAAACGAACTACGTGGACTTTGATCCCGGTTACTCGGGTACGTAGGCAACCAATAGGTTCGAGTCCAACTAATTAAAAAACTCTTTCTTCACTTTTGAGATTTTACATCAATAGATGTATGCTCAAATTGTAATAACAAAATGCTTAATTGAATGCAGTAATATGCAAATAAGCTACGAATAATGAAACACCCAATCTCAAAAAAAACTTATCGATTTAAGTAGTACCCATTTGGGGCGTTGTGGTGTGAATACACTTTCCCACACGTAACCGTACTCCCGAACCTAGAACAATCTAAAATTCGCAGACCAGAATTCTGGTTTTAACAAAAATATTCAAAACTGGAAATGGGTGTTCGATCCACCACAAATAAGACCGATGGCGACTCCGATCAGTTCGCAACGGGTCCCCCGATTCGGAGGTGCGGTTGCGACAGTGGCGACTCCGCTGGGGATCAATTTGAGAGTCGAGCTATATTATTTATATCGATAAGTTTCCTTTCTATCTTTGATTTGTTGGGTGTTTACTTTCTCTATTTGCGCATTTAATTTATATCGCATTTAATTATTTGCATTCATTCATAAAAGCTCTATACCCGAGCTGTCCTTATAGAAAAAAAGGAAGAAAGTACCGTGACTCCTACAATAGTAGGGGAAATGCGAAAACTTCCCAACCAGGTTGAACTCAAATCCGAGGATGGTTTGAGGTATCATGCTAAACTCGAAAGGGTTATAGTGTGATACAACTTGGGAGCCTGATTCCTTAAGATCCCTATCCAGCATATAGTTTACCTAGAAACTACCTAAACCGCAACTTATCCCGAAACCTATCTTAACCCTTGTTGCTAAACCGCTTAAAACCCTAAGTTGGTTTGAATATGATGATGTGTTTATGATTCATGTTTGTTTATGATATAACGAATTATGATTCATCGGTTATACATGAATGTCGTGGTTAGATGCTATGCAAAAGTTTATCAAAATCTGTGACACTAGCATTCTTTCGTTAGTTCATTGTTCACTCGTTTAAAACCGATCATGATGATAAATGTTCAAACATTTTTGCATCCACAAAAAAATCATCTTTCATACGCACAATCGTACCATTTAACACGCCTACCACATTCATATCATTTAGCATGATTATCATTCATTAATCTCATTTAGCAACATGTCATAATTTAACAAGTCAAATCAAGGGTTTTCTAAAGTTGTTCATCCACGAGGACATAGTCAAACCCTTGAGTACCAGATCCAAGGTTATGCTTGTACGAAGTCATTCCAAAAGGATTGGACGACATTAAATGGAGTTCCTCAAATATTGGAAAAAAATTAAAAGCAGTTATCATATTCTTGATGATTTAGTCAAAATTGGAAGAACCAAGGTGCCAAATCGTCCATACATCGACAATGACCCATTGACCACTTATGGGGATTAGTTGGCACACTACAAGACGAAGCTCTATTCAATAATGATGTCAATCCTCACAAG